TCAATGGAAGGCTGAGTCAACCCTGAGCCAGTGAGATTTGAACCGCTGAACTGCTGATCTAGCAGCTGGAGTGGCCTGCAGTACTGCACTCTACCCACTGCACCACCTCGGCTCTTAGTCACTTAGTCACTTTAGGCACTGACCAACATTTTCTGGAGTGAAGACCAATGCAAAGAGTTCAGCTTCTTTGCAATTTTCTTCTTATTATTTTAATACTTGACCCCCTTCCATTGATGGCTGAATAGCTAAACAACTTTCATTGTTATCATTTTTGCATTTCTTCTTATGTTTTTATTTTGTGTACATGTGTATTCGCCAATCTTAATGGATCCCATTCCTTGCCATAACAATGTAATGCCCTGCCATAAATTGTGTCCTCTATGTAACTCTGTATTATGTGCTATGTCTCTATCATTCTCATAGTAAACTATTACTATGTTAAATATCTTGTCTGTACAAGGTGAACATAGATTTGAAATTGCCCTGTGTCCCAAAGACCTCCCCAGAGGTTATCTAAGGAGGGAAATTTCTAATGAAAGTCAAAGATGAGCTGATGACATAGATACTGCCAGGGGTGGGTTCCGGCTGCTGCTACTGCCAGCTCGCTCAGGGATGTGCTGAGCACGCTTGATGTGTGCTACGTGTGCATGCGCAGTACTAAAAATGCTTCTGAGTATGCGTAAAAGCCCAGAACAAAATGGCGGCACCTATGGTGTCACCGAGAGAACCGGTTCAGGGGCGTGGCATGCCTAGGTTGCTGGCGGTTCCAGTGACCCAGGCCACCAAGTTACTACCTATTCAAACCGGTCCGAACTGGTAGAAGCCCACCTCTGGATAGTGCTGCCCCAAACAGGTGACTACTACTTCATTTTTGTTCTATTATCGTAGAGTGTTTTACAATTTAAGGAGAAAGGATTGGGTGCTTGGGGATAAAGATTAATTAAATCACAGAGATAAAAGGGTCAGAGTCACCAGAACAAGGAGTAAAATTGGAGTTTCCAGGCTGCTTAACATATATTGCAAATTCCAGGGTGGAAAGGCTTTGAGTTCTCTTCCCATCCCCCTCATTAATGCAAGATTTCCTTTTTCTGAAGGAATCGTTTTCTCTTATTCACTTGTTCACTTGGTTTGGAAATCATGCTGAAGAATTCCTGAACATGAAAATTCTTTCCATTTCTGTATGTTAGACTGTAGCTGAAGGTCTATTGCTTTAGTATTTTCTTTGGAGATCTGAATGCTTTGATTTGCCCTTTTAGTTTCCTTCTTATCAATATTCAGGTGTTTTTTCTCTCTCCAGATTTTCACTTTGGAAATCAAACGTAACTGGCAATCCCCTAAATTTATCATTTTGGGCAATTGACTCAGTAGCATTTGCTTCATGGTATAAGATGAAAGCAACTAGGATTCAGATAAGGATCTCTTTCCTTTAGTTGATTTCTTAGCAGATTTTTCTATGATACAGATGTGTTTTATGACAAAGACAGAACATCTCATATCTCTACAATAGTGCCAATAGCAACGCTATAACCTCCTCCTCCTCCTCCTCCTCCCAGCATTGTAGTAATAGTAATGGCAATGGACTTGTTCATCTTAAAAACAATTAACCTATACACTAACAGTAGGTAGAAAAGAGACAGCCAGTCTGGTATAGTGGTTAAGGTATAGTGGTTAAGGGAAGGGGAAAGGGGAGGGGGGAAGGGGGAAGAGAGGGGAAAGGGAAGGAGAAGCTCAATATATAAAAATACTTTTTTACTTTTGTATTTATTGGGAAGAAACCAGTGGTGGGATTCAAATAATTTAACAACCGGTTCTCTGCCCTAATGATTACTTCCAATAACCAAACCGCTCAGTAAGTTAACAACTGGTTCTCCCAAAGTGATATGAACTGGCTGAATCCCACTACCGGAAGAAACAACTGGTTGTATTTATTATAGTTCTTAGTAAATATAAGTATACAATCAATTTTATTATAAATACACTTTATACTATAACATATTATAAGAACTGGCACAATTAAATAGATTCAGCAGTATCTGCAATCTGAAAAAGTAGACTTTGCAGCTATATACTTTTGCATGCAATATACTTTTGTTAGCGAATCAACATAGTTAACTCAGAAGGAAAAGGCTGTAATCATGTAACATCTGCTCAAAATGCTTCATAAAGATATTTTCAACACAAAAGAATAAAGGAACTAAACCTAATCTGTATTTTGGAAAAGCAGTTAAATATAGAAAATAGAAGACTTACATTAACTTTTTTAAAAAAATGTAAATTAAACCTTCACCCCTTCTCATTTACTATTATTTTATCTCAAATTTTAAAAATAAACATAAATAAATTGCTGTAGAAGATTTGCAGACACCTCTCCTCCCTCCCTCCCCTCTCTCTCCCTCTCGCTCCCTCCCCCTTTCCCATTCTGTCTAGAAAAGAAGAATTCATAGTTTCATTGCATCAATTACTTAAATATATTTTTACCTTTTTCTTCATACAGCCACGTGTCTCATTTCTGTGTTTGAACTTGATTTCACTCCTAGCAGGTGCTGAATGAAAGTCTTATTTCTTACTGCATGTATGCCCTTTAGAATTCACTGCTAGAGGCCCCAATAGAAAGAGAGGAGAAAAAGGCAGCTTCTTAGTCATGACCTACTTGAGTAAGAAGAACCTGTTAAGACTTCAGTGTTTCTTGCTTAAGAAATGTTTATTTTGTGAGTCACTCTGTGGGGAAACCCACAATTATCAAATTTCTATTGCTTTCTCCCCACTCCTCTCATGTCCTCCAGGTTCTATCAGTTCCATCTGAATAAAGTTTGTTCTGTATTTATAGTACAGAGCTGAGTTAAAAATTCATTTCTGAGAACTTGAAAACAAGGATTGGATCAATTTGTCTGATCAAAATTACTGTATATATTTTTCTTTTCAATTTTAGTTAGTAGCAAAACAGCTAACATTGGCACAAAAAAATAAATTATTGGCAAGGTTACCTCCAAACAGCAATAAGAAAGCTCAGCTATTTGCATAGCAAAGGATTCACTTCTTTATATGTGTATATATCTTATGTTTTACAAAACACATAAAAACAAACAAAA